AAACTTCACACAGACACACAAAAAGAAAAGACGCCGGTTAAACCAACATTCTTGAAGTGATGGAAATGGAGGTGAGCAAGCTGTCTCGTCCCTCAGGTGACTGATGCACAGAGAGACAGGCTTAAAGTGACAAACACAGCGGAGTGGGGCAGGGAGAGGACAGGTAGCCGAATTCCCCCATGTTCCGTTGAATCCGCAATACCCAGTCTTGCAATAAAACTATACTTTTTTTCCCCACAGCTCCCAGCTGCCACCATCAGCGTGGTGTATGAAATAATGGCGTTCCTCTGACGTTTGGCAGACTCACTACATAGACATTCCTAAAGCCAGCGGTACATACTTACGATACGGGCGCAGCTCACTCCAAGTTCCCTGTTTACCTGCCCATGCTCTGAGAGCACAGGCACCACCTTTCCAAAATAAATTGGGTGCTGCACCCAATCAGCCCCTTTAGTGTAAGAAGCAGTACTTCTACTGGTACTTGTGACACAGGTTTCCACTCTGGCTTCACTTCAGGGATCTTCTGCCTTGAAGGCAGCAGCTCCTTTGTGCGCTGAGTGGTGCAGGCGGTCTTCTCGGCCTGCAGTCTAGGGGTTTGTCTTTCTCCTCACTCTTACTCAGGAGCAGCCGGACCTTCATCTTCTCCTGGGCCAGCTGCTCTCGGGTAGCCTCCTGGTCTGCTAGGGTTCGAGTCAGCTGACACTCGATATGACTGGGCCAGGGAGGGGGTACCGGGATGCTTTATCCATGGTAAATCCAGCAGTTTTCTGTTTGCTTTTTTGTTTTCCTCAAGACAGATCGCTCACGCTGCTGCCCCCCAGTCATATCTGTGCGTACGAGTGTGTTGTTTTCCTGTCGCCCCGCTGACGCTGCCTTACGTGACACAGCCTGGCGCGGTGGTGTCAGAGAATAGGAGCTCTGATAGGCCAGTCCGGGAAAACAAACACACCAAGCAGCTGTAAGGTTTAGTGCTAGTGTCCTTTTACTCACAGAGTGCAGGGAAACTACGAAACTTGAAAGCTGCTTACTGGCCTCAAAAAAGCATGAAGTCTTCTCAAACTCTTTTCACAAATTCCGTTTCTCTCAGGTTCCC